TTCATTGTAGGGTTTTTGGCATTGATCCAAAAAGCCTCAAGGAGTTTTCGCGCTGGTGTTTTGGACTCCTGTGCAAGGATATTGACTTTTACTTCAAAATTGTCTCCGCTATGCTTCTGTATCCTATGCGTGCCCCGTGGAGTACTTTGTCTTGCTTTTGGTTTGCCATCTAGGTGTTCTTTTATACGGATACGCAAAGCGCCCGTTTCGCCAATATATTTATCTGCGCAATTATTACAAGAGATCAGGTATATCGTACCTGAACTCATGCAATCACCGTCCCTGCCGTGAGGGCAAATTATGCAATTTGTTGTTTCACATAGACGCTCACATAGGCGGTTACGAACTAACTGACAGCATAGAGTAGCCGGTGGTATTTCAACTATCGCCCCAGGTGTAATTTATTTAATATGTGGCTCTGTGGATATGTCGTACTAGCTGCTGATATCTTTCTTTGGTTGTCTTAAGTTTTTCCCCATCACTCTAATATTTTTTTTGCCATCGCTGGCTTCTCGTGTCCCCTATGCAAACAAAACTCCTGGAGACTTCACCACATGTGTAATTGGGGCGATTCTCACTAGAACTTCAACACATTTCACCATAACCGTTGTCATTTTTGCTTCCCTTAAAGTGTTCCCTCTCTGAAGAAGCTTGATTGTGCTAGTTACACATTACGTCAGGGCTCTTAACTGGCCAGAAATGCAAAAATTTTGCACTTCACAAACGTACGCCGCTTCAGAATCGCCCCTTCTATTTATCCTCTTCTTTTTTTTATCAAAATAACTCGTTTTAGTGGTGAAGTGATAGGTGGAAGTTCTACGACAATAACGAGTAGTGTTAATATGCTTAGTTGCTCGCGCCAATCTGTTTTCCCTTATGCCGCATAGACAGCCACTCTTCTTCACACCGAAACCCTTAGAACGTTTAGATCCAGGTGTCCCAGATTTCTAAAAAAAAATAAAACCGAACTATTGCCACCAATAACAGACCATCAAACCCCGCGCCACATAAGGATATCAAAAATTATGCGAAAAATTCCAATGTATGTTACGAACTAGCTGGTTTTTCGACAGCAGACGGTATTCCTTCCATAACTAGAATAACTGAGATGTTTGGAAAATTTTAGTTGTAGAAGATTCTTCGCTTTATCGCTAGAGGTACGTATGGTGAAAAAGATACCGTTTTTTATATGTTACTGTAGCCCCTATAGGTGTTATAGCGTCCACTACCACGAAACCATTATAACGCCTGTAGGTGCCACTCGTTGCGAGAGTGTTAATGCGCTTTAACGTGTAGAAAACTTGATTGTCACCGTGCGGTGAATTAGAATTACGTACTTTGAATGAACTCAGCTTATTTTCAAGTTTAAGTGAATTGAGCACACACGTGCGTTTAAGTCATTGACCGTCCCTGGCCACTGCGTTGCGTGTTGTGCTGTCGGACGTGGTTGGGATTCCTTGAGACTGTTGAGATGGCCAATGCACCAAATGTATTGGTTAACCTATAGTAATAATGCATTGAGCTTACTGAGGCACGTTTTTCAAATTGTATTTGGCTATAATAATTTTAACCTATTGGTGATTATTGGGAACGTGATAGCGCAATGTACAACAAAAAAGAACAATGCGGTTTTCATGACTTGAAAGTATCATTTCAGCCAAACTGATGGAATGTCACAATGATGTCGAGATATTTTCGAAACTTGGACCTCAGGCTCGATTCAGCATTGTGGTTTAGGCTATAGCCTTTGGGTAGCTGAACTGGGTTCAATGCCAATATGTGTTCCAAAGATCATTTCCGCTGACGGATGATTGCTAATCGCGCCATCAGAGTAGAAAAATTTCTTCACATAATACCCTGCCGTGAAGAAAGAGTAGGCCAGTGAACAAAAAAGTTAAGCATCGTAACAGAATATAATTGCAAGCTGAATTTGAAAAAAGTGTTGCATGGTAAAATGTTGAGCGAGGAGTAGGTTTTAAAATGGTATACAAAAACAATGAATACAATAATAATTTATTGCGGAAGTTATCTGTAAAATCCATAAAGTCAAGAAGTTATTATTCCAACCTCACTAATTTTCATCGACTTAGTAATATGTTGCGTTTCATTATTTTTTCTTGTGGATAAATTCCTTCCATTTCAATACTTATGTGTGTTTAAAAAGAATAAAGCTCTCTGTGTTGATCAATCCCTGAGGGATGCGCCATGGATTCGACTTCATTAAGTATCGTTCGAGGTGATTGAATGCATATCTGGCCTTTACAATGACTCGTGGTGGCCTACCGATGTATCGAACTAATGCTGCTATCCTCCCAGTCAAGTCTGGTACCAATTTGTCGAACCCGGAGCGATGGAAGGCTTCGTGGGTCGTGAAAGCAGGGATCGATACCACGTGCGTGTCGCAGTGGCACCTCCAACCATTGCGCCACATGTGCCCTTATTTGTGTTTGCTTTCTGTAATAGGATATGCGAACCGAGCCTTATTGTGGTTAGGGTAAAGACGTGCTGTGAGTGACACAGGTATTTAAAGAGTATACCGTCCGTCTATTGAATCGCACAGCTGTCTCCTTAAGTCAGCGTTGCTATTCCTACCTAAAGTGCGACTTCTCTTTTAATAATGGGGCATGGTTACAAGCGGCAGTGTAACGTTATTCCCTTTCAAGTTATCTGTTTGATTTTCGTAGTCGTTGAGGTTAAAGAAGTGTAGAAACGTTGCCGATTGTATAAGTGTGTAACAACTGTAGTTTTTAGGATGACAGTGAAGAAATCGGAGAATTTAGATTCTTCGTACTCAAGCAGTGATAGTGACTTGCAATGCATTGCTTAAATATTTGTCCGAGCTTGTGATGTCGTGCTTTTTGCACTCGAAATTCCAGATCCTACTTTTGTGTGAGGAACGCATTGTAATTTTTTTTGCATTTTCATTAACATTGTTGAGAGCATCATTTCGGCATAGTTAAGAATGGGTTATCTTGGAGATCATGGCTTTTTGACACCTACATGACGACCTGACCTCTGTATGAGAGATACGTAAGGGTAGGGCATTTTGGTCAGAATGATCTCCGTAGATCTCCTCTCTTTTCTGTGATCTATTTCTACGAACAGAACTTTTCCTACACTTTTTGCATTCATTCGATAGCATTTTTTGCAAAGATGCTGTGTTAGGTGTGGAGAGCTAGAGAGCTATTTTCTATAGTTAGTAATTTACAAAAAAGTTCTTTTCTTACAAGTTCAATGACTGCTGATTTGATTGGTGATCGACTGCTGTTTCACTTCCAATTAATGTAGTGAATCAGAGTTCTAGCAACGTGTTTATGGGTACGAAAACTGCTGAAATGTAGCCAGCACAAGTTGTAAAACGCTTCCAAAACTGTTGGCAGCAATGTGTTTGTATGGCGGGCTACAGTAACATATAAAAACGGTATCTTTTTCACCATACGTACCTCTAGCGATAAAGCGAAGAATCTTCTACAACTAAAATTTTCCTAACATCTCAGTTATTCTAGTTATGGAAGGAATACCGTCTGCTGTCGAAAAACCAGCTAGTTCGTAACATACATTGGAATTTTTCGCATAATTTTTGATATCCTTATGTGGCGCGGGGTTTGATGGTCTGTTATTGGTGGCAATAGTTCGGTTTTATTTTTTTTTAGAAATCTGGGACACCTGGATCTAAACGTTCTAAGGGTTTCGGTGTGAAGAAGAGTGGCTGTCTATGCGGCATAAGGGAAAACAGATTGGCGCGAGCAACTAAGCATATTAACACTACTCGTTATTGTCGTAGAACTTCCACCTATCACTTCACCACTAAAACGAGTTATTTTGATAAAAAAAAAGAAGAGGATAAATAGAAGGGGCGATTCTGAAGCGGCGTACGTTTGTGAAGTGCAAAATTTTTGCATTTCTGGCCAATTAAGAGCCCTGACGTAATGTGTAACTAGCACAATCAAGCTTCTTCAGAGAGGGAACACTTTAAGGGAAGCAAAAATGACAACGGTTATGGTGAAATGTGTTGAAGTTCTAGTGAGAATCGCCCCAATTACACATGTGGTGAAGTCTCCAGGAGTTTTGTTTGCATAGGGGACACGAGAAGCCAGCGATGGCAAAAAAATATTAGAGTGATGGGGAAAAACTTAAGACAACCAAAGAGAGATATCAGCAGCTAGTACGACATATCCACAGAGCCACATATTAAATAGATTACACCTGGGGCGATTTTATCTCTTCTTCGTCGTGTTGCAGTTGCAGCGATGAATGTGTTTGTGGTGAACATTGGAGGCTGCTTTATGTGAGCAAGCCCACGCAATTTTATTTCAAGGTTTTTTTTCCTCTTTTAAGCTATATATACCACCATGTCCTCTTAAACGACTACTAGTGTTTTGTAAGGTATTTCCGAGGGTACATTTTTATATATGGACTCGCTAAGTCAACTGTGACTACGATTTACTTCCACTCGTATATCCAGGTTAAAACCAACGAATTTTTTCCTAGCCAATTTAAAATCGAAAATTTAAGGAAATCTATCAAATAGCATTTTCACAGAGTCGTCCCCATCTTGAAAAAGGAGTCTATCCCACTTTCTTTTATCTTTTAAAAAATATGTCTCCTTCAGCAAAATTGGCCGAATGATTGGATCATTAGCCTAATGATGTATCTGAAATATGCCCAAGTTAGCTAAAAGAAACGATTCGTGGAAGAGAAAAGAGAATAAGTTGTATCTGTAACAGTTATCGATAAATCGACAAAGGATTCTCAATAATGTACAGATACAGGACGGTTGTTGAATCTGGATAATGCAAACATGGGTTGAGCTGATTGCGAATATTGTAAGCGTTGTTGAGACAGCCTGTACCAGGCCTTGTAACCATTGTGAACAAATAACTTAAATAGGAAACAGTTCTAGGCAACCGCACGGTAGTAGTAGGAATTCTCCAGCCATGAGATAAGAGCATGAGAACAGATGAAAATGAGAGAAAGTAGATTTGAATGTAGATAATATGTCAGTAGCCAGGAGCAGTTCGAGGTGGTGGGCAATGTGAGCATGGCCCAGGTTGTCCACGCTTTCCAGGTATACCAGGACGACCAGTTGGTCCAGGTCGACCTGGAAGACCAGGCTGACCGTCGTCACCTTGAGGTCCAGGTGGGCCTGAAAACGATTGTGTTACACCTTTTGTTTCGCTTAAAAAACATAAGAAAACATAAAGACAGAGACGTACCAGGAAGTCCAGGTGCACCAGGTCTACCTTCAGGACCTGGAGGACCATCCGGTCCTGGAGGGCCTAAAAACTAGATTATGATCTATTTTATCTTAATTATCTTCAAAAAGTGATTTCAGAGCACTTTTCAAAGTACCTGGTAAACCTGGTTCTCCTGGAGGACCAGGTCTTTCTATCAATACCCCATCTACTCCCTTTTCACCTTGTGGCCCAGGTTCACCAGGGGGACCCTGAAATTGTCAATGTTATTATTTTGAAATGATAAATCGAAGCAAAGTAATTAGATAGTAATCCATAAAGACGGACCGGATCTCCAGGTGGGCCAGGGGGTCCTGGAAGTCCTCGCATTCCTCCATCAGCATCAATTCCAGGGTTTCCAGGTCTTCCCGGAAGTCCCTTCGCTCCCGGTTCACCTGGTGGTCCCGGTGGTCCATCTGGACAATGAATGCAGATGTCGCGGTACGCGAAGATATTTTCTGGACTATCTTTCCCATCACGACCACTCTCTCCTGGAAGTCCATCGGCTCCGTCCTTTCCATCTCTACCATTAATTCCAGGTTTACCAGGTGCACCTATTCCGCATCCACAGCCTTAAACAGATACAACTAAGAATTTATTTATTATGGTGGGCCGTCAAAGAAAAGTAGCGATGAGCTTAATGCAGAAATGCCTTTCAGCGTTACTGACACGTTCCACCTCCAACTTGTGTTTGCGGTTTCCCTCTGACTTCTTTATTATCCACATAGTCCCGAAGAGGAGATGAGTCATATGATCCATAGCTGGCTGAGTATCCTCCGTACGCATGTCTTGGCAACCTATTTTTGGTTCCTTGAGATCGCTGTACTTTTGTAACCTGTTGCCATAGAGAGCCAGAACGGGACTGAAAGTTCGTGTAACGTGAGAATGAAAAAGTGGAGTGAAAATAAGACTGGGAATTTAGTATCCCATTGACTGATATGTTCTCGAAAGCTGTATCTGTTTTCAACGAAACTACATCTTGGCAGTCTTTTGTTCTCTGATGATAAGTACTAGGCTTCACTTTTACCTTGATTTCTCTATCAGCATTAGTGGTTTTTTTTGTAACAAATTGTGTATCTTTCAAGGGGAAAAGTTCGTGATTTCAAAAGAAAAAAATGGACGAGGAGTATGGTGGTGTTTTTTTCATAATTCTTCAGATCGATATTTTGAAGAAACTGTTTAAATTATTCTTTCTCTTGGTTGAGACAAAGTGGTAAATGTTATTGTTTTTTATCCGAAAATATAACTGCTAAGTCTCTTGCTAGCATTTCCATAAGCTACGACTATTACGAGAATCGTTCGTCATTCTCTTGAAGCAATGAAAAACATGAGCTTCTCATAGGGATTAAAAGGAATGCACCTAAACTTGTCGCTTGTACAACAATTTGTTTTCTTCCAGTAATTTATCATAAGTCTAAAGTCTTTTGATGAGGGAATCACAAACTATTGAAAGCTGCGAACAAAAGCAGTACTTTCATTCATTCTCAGCTTAATAAAATATTTTCTGTAGTTTGAGATCGATTGTATTACAATCATATTTCACAATTCAAAAGATCAACTTTCTATGAATCTTGGCATAAGTAATTGATATATTTATTTATATGTTCTTATAAACTGATCTTGTTGAGGTGATGCGAGATTGGTATATTGTCGTTATTGTTGTTGTTTGTTGTTAGTTTGTACAGAGTCCCACTCGTAACAGCATCGCTCTGAGGAAGGAGAAATTGACGAAAAGTCAGCCATCGACCAACGACACCAACAGCAACGACAACAACAACTACAACGACAACGAAGAAATATACCAACCTCGCATCATCTCAAAAAGATCGTTTTATAAGATCATATAAATAAATAAATAATATTCCAATATACTTAAATAATATCTCGTTTGGAATTTTGGAAATTTTTCCAAAAAAGAAAAGAAACAGAGCGATTTCACCGCACTTTTAATACGAAGCATGCAAATTTCCGGCGTTATTGTTGCAGTAGCGAGTAGGTGCGCATGTAGCGCAGTGGTCGGAAGCGCCTTGCAATACTTATGGGATCGAATCCTGCGCCCGAGGCTCACCAAGCCCTCCATCCCTTCGGAGTCGCTGAATTAGTACCAAAGTTGTCTGCGGGGATAGCAGCACTGACTCGGTACATCGGTAGGCTACCGCGAATAAGGGCCAAATATCCATTCAATCACCTACAACGATACTTAATGAAGTCGAATGCATGGCGCATCCCTCAAAGATCGATCAACGCCGAGAATTTTGTCCTCTTCTTACCCTTGTTGCTGCAAAAAATTGTCTTGATTATTTCCCTTAAATCGATCTGCTTTGACGGCGGAACTTTTCTGATTTTCTTTTTTCCCTTGTTACAAAAAAGAAATTGCTATTAATATGGCACTCATAATCCGGAAGGAAATAGTCTGCTCACTTTCTCTAGCCGGTCATCCTTCTATCTGTGGAAGAGTTTTGAAATCTTAAATAAAATAAAATATTGTATAGTAAAGTTATAGGAGATAGATAACGGGGTATAAGTTTTTTTTTATAAGGAACAAAAAGTACAAAACGTCAACATTTATTTATCCCTTAAGGATGGGGCATCGCTGCCTTTGGAAAGATGTAGAATTGGTTCGTCCGAAGTGCGCGATCGAACCAAAGACCACGTACTTATAGCTAGGCACCTCTCAACAACTGTGCTACATGCGCTCGTCGTTACTGTGTTATGCAGTTATATGATTAGTTTAAATGCATGGCTGTGTTAACGTTATAAATATGATCAATGCTGAGGTTAGTAGAAAGTCGGTCATGAGAAGTACTACATAGCAAATACAGTTAAAATCCAGAAGACAGAAGAGAAGTTCTTAATGACGTTCATTTATTACGAATAGGGACGCTATATCTGGACAGAAGACTTCTTGGGCTTGAGGAATGGTAAGGTTTTCCACAGAAATTCACTAAGATCATTCAGTATAGAGAGATTTCTCAATTTGCTACAACTTATTGTAAGATATCGCGCCATCTGACTTATCGCTAACGTCATTACCAGCTGACTAGCGTGCTACAAGATCGACAATTGTTTTCGGCGAGAGGCTACCTCGTTAGCTGGTTTTGTTCCCGCAATCTAACCAGTTCTGTGTAGTGGCCGATTTCAATAATATCTTTTGATATCGTTATTTCGCAAACGGACGACTTTTTCACTGAACAAATGCTGTCACATAAACATTTAATGGGCTTCCGCTGTAGAAGAAAAATCTATTTATTATGAAACACTCACTTTACAGTAGTCGACCTCATTCTGTAGAAGTGTTTGAACATGTTGTACATAATTATATATCATTGGAACGGTGAGTATACAGACAACCGCTGCGACAACGGACATCGCCACTCCTGAATGAAGGAATTAAACCAAAGCATAAACAAAAAGAGTAGCCACTATCAGCACCTGCTACTGCAAGTGATTTAAGCCGATCAGCTTCTGCTTGCAGGTGGTCGCCTCTGCTTTTGTCCATGTGCATCTGAGAATGAAATCGGAGCATGAATAAAATTCAAAGTAGATAAGAAGGTAAACAGAGAGAAGATTCGATGAGATGAAACAATGAGTGAAATTTTGAGGAAATCGATTAAGAAAGGTGTGTCACATGTGAAAGTAGCCGTGAACTCTTCAACGTCGTCATTCCGATACTTCGCAAGCCGGTCGCTCCTATTGGGAAGAGGCCGTATAGGGAATGGTTGAATCGGCGGCGACTGCGCAAATCGTCGTCTTCTCAGCATGCTGCTTCTGTTGCTGTGGCTTGTTAAACGTGTCTCGGACAATATCCGTCAGGTTTTGAACATAGTTTCCATAGAATCGTATCTGCTTCGTGATTGTTTGAAAGAAAACCGTAAAGATTCTTGTCGTTTTTCATTCAAAAATCGCTTTTGCCACGAATGGTGTGTCTAAATGTTAGGTTGTTTTTCGCAAGCAAAAGAAAACCAGACCAGCAGTAAAAACAACGAATATTTACATTCAAGAAGAATATAGAAGAGTTTTCACATGGTCAGGAGCAAGTGACTCTGGAAAAGGTATTGCGCAGATGTCGTAATAGATTATGTTAGATGTAATACGATATAAATCTACAATGCCGATTGCGAATGAGATTTCCGTTCACACGAATTAAATTCGTGCTTATGACAATCAAAGGCAAAAAACTTTTAAGGTCTACTCATTAGCTGATAGCCTACATCAAGATACAACCATTATATATACAGTGCTTATGCTCTATGATTCCGCTAATCATCAAGTCGACCGGCGCACAAATGGACTCCCTTCGACCCCATCGCTCATCATAGTTGTTTAGTGACTCATTTTCCTTAGGAAACACGAAAAGCGTTGTACCTTTGACACGAAACCCTTTTTACTGTTTCTAAGGAAAACACGGCTACGACAAATTTAAACGATGTCGTAGGTCTAGTTTTATCTACGATTAGCAATGGTAAAATCGAAACCTTTCGCAAACAATTGACCCTATATATATATATATATATATATATATATATTCAACTTTTGAATTTCAACTACAGCCGCAGCTTAACTGGGTTCTATGCCGATTTGGGCGGCCCAGATCAATCCCGCTGACGGGTGATTGCTGTGGCAAAGATCGATAGAAATAGCTGAGAGACAGGCGAAACAAAGGACCCGCATGGTGTGGTGGTGAACGCGCTACTCCCCGGAAAGGACAATAGCGCGTTCGTTCCCCACCATAGACACCTGCGGTCCAGAGTTTTGCAAATATCTCAGCAACGTTGTGCTTCAATAACACTTACAAAAAGACGAAAGACCCTTTGGTAATTACATGATCAACAACTTCTCGAAAAACCCACCGCTTTTTTGTGACTTCCAATGAGGAAGTTTAGAACAGCTGATTATAATCGCATGTGGTTGACGACTGCATCATCCCACATCAAAAATCGATGCGAACGTACGGGATCAGGTCGCGTATGAGCTTCAAGATCGACTCCGCTATCAGGCCAAGCAAGAAACATCAAGCAGAGATAAAAATCAAGAGGCGGCGACACTACCACCATCTCCTTTCCCAAAAACGTTCTTTAGGCAGCAGGACCCTAACGATGGAGTTGACATAAAATTCCGCGCGTTTTCGGACGGCGTTCTCAAGACCCTTAGTCACTACCGCGATAGAAGGTTTATCTCTAACCTTACAGCCGCGCAAAAATGTGGCATGCGGGAAATTAGAGAATTAATAAACTCGAAAACAATAAGATTGTCTGTTAGTTATAAGGGGGGAGAGTTCGTAGTTATCCTTCGCCAGCTGGATGTTGAGATAACAGAGGAACATCTTAGTGATGCTACGCTCTATCGCCCATCCTCTGAAAAGAATATAAAAGTCAATACCGAAAGCTAAACAATCAGTGGGTCAGCGTGGCAAAGGCTGCAGGTTTAAAATCATCGGTTATTTCGCACTTTAAAATCGATAGACCAACATGACCCGTCCCATACCTACTTATTAAAACACATAAGTTGGTATTACCTGATGATCATGCGTCAACCAATCCGTCATCATTTAAGGTTAGACCGATCATCAGCTGTGTAGACGGGCCAACGGATAGAATAACCTGGTTTTTAAGCCTGATACTTACCCAGTTGCTTAACCACATTCCAGCTCACCTCACAAACACCCAAATGTTCCTAGAACGTCTACGTAACGCTTCTCCTAATAACGCGTACGTGATGGAGTCTTTCGACGCTACCGCACTGGACACCAACGTATCGAATGACTCCGCAATGCAAGAACTTCTTGTTGAACATGAAGGAAGAATAAATATGCATGGCTTGTCCATCCAGCAGCCAATGGCTCTCTTAAAGGAGTGCCTAAACTGCTCAATTTTCAGATGGTCTGGGAAATATTTCGCGCAAATAAGGGGGTTGGCAATGGGACAGCGGTTCGCACCAAGCCTTGCCATTGTGTTTATGTCTAAGATAGAAGCCCCTGTTCTCGATCTCCGCCCACTACTCTACTGCAGATATGTAGATGATTGCTTTGTCGTCTTCTCTACGCAGGAGGAGATGGACAAATGCTTTCAATTATTGAACGAGCAGTCCGAGTACATAAAGTTCGCCCGGGAGAAACCGAGAGAAAACTGGCTTCCGTTTTTGGACGTCCAAATAAACCTATCAAGTAGCGGTTACCTGACAAAGTGGTATCGAAAGCCAAGTAACAAGAACATCCTTGTTCATTTCCTTTCTTCCCACCCTTCACACACAAAGAGGACAATTGTGAGAAACATGTTTCGAACAGCCACCTCTGTGTGCACTACTAGGCTTTGGATAGTAGACGAATGTCAAGATTTAAAGAAGAGCTTGTAGAGCGACACGGTGACAACCAGCAGATCAGCTAAAGATGATATACAGTGAATGGATGAGAGCTCGTGATGGAGACCGGTTGATGACCTTGTTCTAGTCGTCTTACCACTTTCTTTCTATTCATTCATTGTTGTATAGACGATTTTCTCATTGGCCAACCTCTACAATCCGCTGGTATATTCTTGCACCACATCTAAAGAATTAGTCTACGGTAATGTCGTCTATATCAAGAACTTTACTGCAAGCTCACAGCATTACGTGATGATGTTCTGCTTTGATTGAAAGCCATGGAAAGATTTTCATTATGGAAATGACCTTAACACTCGTTCCGCGCTTTTATGGGGACGGCCTTCTGATCCATCGTTATGGTAACGCAGTCTTTCTACCAGTATTTATTTAGTAGTGAGAATTCTACAATTTTCGAAAAACTTATTAAGCAGGTCCAACAACTTGGGGCTCGTTTCATTATTAGAAAAGTTTTCTATCTAAAAGCAAATCGAAATCGTTTCACCGAAAACAATATGCGACCGTGACTCTATGTCTACGGTGGATCTATTAAAGATGAAGACGAGTATTGGGCCTTTAAAAGCCTATGTCAATGAAGCTGACATCACAATTAGTTTTGAAATCAAATAAACAGCTCACGTTGCTTACCACACGTCCCCATTGTGAACTGAACTGAGGAGCTGGGATAAAAGTACGTACTGAATCTGTTCACTTAACAGAGGGATCGGTTATTGGTTTCACCTCTCTACTATACGGAAATATAAAGAAACTATCTTCCTAAAAAACTGAAAAAGTGGGAAAATTCCACAACACAACTGTTCGAAAACCGATCCCACATATATTACAATGGCGAAACGGTCATACCCCTCTGTCTCCGCATAAAAGAACATTTAGCCTGAAAACAGAAACCAAATACCCCGCTAGGCACGCATAGGACCCAGAGACATAACGGGGAGCACTTTGAAGTTCGTGTCACGATTCTCGCACAGGAATCGAGAACACAAGCGCGCAAAACTCTCGAGGGGTTCTGGATTAATTCCAGAAATCCGAAAATGAACCGCAGCGAAGAATGCCTCATTATCACGCGTGATATTAGGCAGTATATAAGCCTGTTATTCTGATGGGAGGGGCACATTACGCTTCCATGTGAATTCTGGGCGGTCGGTCTTCACGCGACATACTCAGTGGAAGCCGCATAGAAAGCGGTGAGTGTGCAAAGCTGTGTTTAGTGTGATTGAAATCTTCGTTTAGCGTTTTCTTTGTTTGGTTATGGAGGTGTTTGGCCGAATAGATTGCTGTCAACTTAACCTTTCCAGGCTCTGAGGAAGGCGAAATCCGCCGAAACGTCACCTTTTACGTGAGTGGGGAAGTGGAATTAGCACCTCGTGTTTGCTGAACAGAAGTGGAAAGAATTGCTCGAAAAGAAATAGCTGAATAATCTACTATTAATGTAACGCCTTCTCAGATTTCATTAGTAATCGAGAATTATTAATCATCCACAAGCGTTCTGGACTGCTTAAAATTTTCTGGAACTCGTGCATTTGAGGATTTTAGGACTTGACACAGTTGTAAAAGATAACCAAAATGATGCTAAGACATTGGCCAAACAAGGAACCCAGGCCAGATCGAACCCGCTATTACCCGCTCTGGATGCTCTTATTAAGCACAACACCACCTGAGCTTCGCTCGACCTTTCCCTCGAGCAGTTGTAGAAGATACTTTTTCCTCTCGTTACAAGAGTACACATAATTTTTCTAGACGAATAATTTTGAGAAATATTAATGCCATTAAATGGAACATTCCCGGAAATTGTCCTACCCGATGGAAGGGAATCCTGATTGTTCAACCATTTCATCACTTAAAAAACGAGCTTCGATAACAAAGAGAGTCAAAAAAAAGTTTCATTGGTTCCAAAAAGAAGGAATTTTTCTGAGATAGAATAACAAGGTGGGTATCATGCATGCAAAAATGTGTACATGGTACGTATGTGCATAAAGCCACTCCCTCCAAGTGATAGAAAACTAGTACTATAACAATCAAATAAAAAACTTCGCAGAAACACTTACGAAGCTTTGTCGCGCTAGCATTCCATTCTACCTTAGGTTGATCTTGTCATATCAGTAACTCCAATTTTCACGAAACAGAAAGGTCCAACATGAAGCTCACTCTTTGAATTAGCATTAGCAGGTTGTAAACAATAAAAGCTTAACCCGTAACCACTTAAGCTCGATATATTGTTTTTTGGACCAACTTTATAATCGGTGTAAGAAGCAATGCAAACATCAGTGAAGTCCTATTTTTATACAAACTTTTCGGGATTTTGCGGTAATTCCCTAAGGTTTCAGATGATGAGGGAGAGTTGAGTATTTGAGTAATTGCAGGCGGGTGGATTATTCTATTTGAAACTCAACTCAGCAAGCACTGCTCATATCTATCCATTTATCGGGGAAAGTATTCGTGGTCGAAGTGTCCACGCTGTTGGTTGTTTACGGTGAAACAACCGCTACAGGCACAATCATACTATGAAAGGAGCCGCTCGGTCAAACATCTGTGAATCGTGTCTTTGCGTGTCTTTGTTAGGTCGCTCGAAGGCGAAGCAATGGAACGACCTCAGAGATCTCAAACTTTAGGAATTTGGCGATTTTTTTCGGATGCGAGTGGAATGACTTCGTAGTGTCGCCGATTAAAATTCGTTTTTATCCACAAAAGGTTTTCTTGTTTTAATGAAAATATTCCGAGAGAAAACGAACAAGATCTTTGAAGTCTGCTCTTAAGAAAGCTTATCACATGGATAGTTGGATAAGGGCGTCATGGAAAGCGCGTCACTTAAAACGTTGCTTTTTTCCTGTTAAAGAGAAATGCCAAATTACGCTGACTTAGTTGAACATTTGTTCATGTTGTCAAACATCAGTCTAATGGAATTCGTTTCGGGCTGTTCTGCAACTCATGAAGATTTGTCACTCAAATATGCAACCAAACGTTTGCATTAGAGATGTAGAGATGGCGTGGAACAATTCATGTGTTGAATAAATCATGAGTTGCTTAGTGCTTACAAGTATTATATAAGCATATATACATATAACTAAGAAAGTGAAAACTATCGAACCAAGTCGTCACTGCAGATCACCTACGATTAAATGAGCAGCATATAGAACATGTAAAAACACCTTCATCTGACGGGACTGGCGCCGTCAGCATCGAAACCGTAACGCAATCAACGAAAAAACTATATGATAAAAATGGCACGCGAAAGAGGATCGTAATTCTGAGAAGCGATGATAAACGACACATCACAGGAACCAGTTGCACAGAATGAGACGCGTCATGAGGACCGAAATGAAGAAAGATAGAGCTGATGAGGATGAAACTTGTCGTGAGTTTTTGACGTCGTGCACTAGCAACTTATCCTTATTAGTTCTTGCTCTGAGTAGAACAGATGGACCTGAATAAAGCAAATATCATTGACAGAAGTAATCACTAATTCCTCAACAACCTTCTCCGGCTTCACTTAAACGACGAAATTTGAATATGTAATCAGCATCTTTGAGCAGTCCAGAAATCTCGTATAGTCCCGATCTACCTAAATTCGTGGCATCTAATAATCGTCCTCTCCCTACGACTTCTTTTCCACTATTGTCTTTCGTCATTCAAAAAATTGTTGATTTTGATGGAAAATATTCTGGTTTCCATGTCATGAGTCATACTTTACACTCAATCCTCACTTTTTTGTCGTTTCTGCTTCACGCCGTAGTCGTTCCAGAACCTGTCACTGTTGAGTACGTCTTCCTCATTCTCCTGAGTACATAATTATTCCTATTTTTACATTATTTCAAAACACACATAACGTCAGGTATCGGCATTAATGTCGGAGTGAATTTCAATTGAAAGACCAATAGCTTGCAGAGAACATTTGAGTTAGTCAATTTTATCAGTGAATTCGAGTAGGATGAACGCAATGAATAGAAGCGGCCATCGCAGGATCGAACAGGCACGAGAAGCGTGGAAAACGTAAATGACAACTTGCTGGTGCTCATTTTTTTAAAGTGTTTCCTGAATAACTTCAGTAACTTGCGTTTTTTGCCATTTTTTCTCAATGTTTCAGTCGTTTTCAAGTCTTGAAGAGAAAATCAACATTACTTCGAGTTTCTCGTCGACAATTGACTGCCGCAAGTAGTTGATTTCTACTTCTTTTATCGGTAGCTCGCCTTCTTCCTGAATTGGAAACTAGCAAGTTTTTGGATTAGTAGGTAAGTTATTAATGGTATTTTTATCACTTGGAATACTCCCAAATAATACACGCACAAAGAAAGTGTTGAATAACCTGTCTATCTTCGATCTTCCAAGTTATAGCATTTTCTTTCACATCATACAATGTAACCCTTGGCTCCGAAGGAGGGCCTGAGAACAAGTTTTCGAATGACTTTTTTTTTCAAAATGAAAACACTCATCCTGTGCAACTCACTCGTTTCTTTGAGATGAATTATCAAAGAGTTTTTCGCTTTCCCATTATTGACCTCACAACGGTATTCGCCCAGATCGTTTTCATCAACATTGAAAACCTGTTGCATGTTTTAAAATTTTTCCTCTTGAAAATAAGATTTTTGAGTACACTGGAAGCAGGAGATTCAGCAGTGATGATTAACTAAGTACGACTAAAGTATGAAAACGAAAAATAATAGGCAGTAAAGGGTAAAACAAACCTTAAGAGTAGCTTTACTACGAGTTTTTTCTGTCGTTAGATTGTATTTTGTTGAATCAGTCAATTCAGTGGGGCCACGGTAAAAAGTGAAAGAAATCACAGGTGGGTTTGATGCAGCAACTGAGCAGTGCAACTCCACCTGCAAGCAATTTAACAAAGTAGAAACACCTTTCATGTGGAAAGTTTGCCATTACCATGTAAGCAGTAGGCTTATGATCTAACTACTCATTTACATCGTTTATTGAGAGCACAATCTAACACGAATTGTTTTTAAAAAGTGACAAGTTGTTAAAGAAATTGTAAGAAAATCAGTTCAGAAGACGTTTGGAATACATTGATAGATAGGCGTCTAAATTAAGTTCTATGCTGATTATTTCATTAAGTACATCGCTAACCTCACGGATTTTCTCATCAACGATTGCGTATTGCTCGATAGAAGACTTGTAGAACTCCGGCCGATCTGAATTCTCAGCAACTGTGGTTCTGTGATTGGTAATGAATAGGAAAAAGTGAACGGTATTCCAAAATATTGTGTGATCCGAACTTGGCACTCGGTTTCTCAATTCTCACGACATCAGGGCCGTTAAATCGACCACGACCGATCTTTATCGAGGTTCCAGGATAATGATTAACAGTGGGATATCATCAGACAACCACTTACACCATACATCGATGTGGACTTCGCGTCTGTCGATAATCGGCAATTCTTCTTTTCCATACGACTCGATATGAACACAGTTTATCTTCTAGAAAACCACAGACAACTAAATTTTAGTGTGCAGAGAGTGCAAAAGTGTGAATGAACCATAACCACTAACCTTTCCGTCATACCAGTTGGTAAGCCTTTCTACCGTAACCTCCTTTCCGGCTATTGTATACATTTCCGCTGAAAGCTCAGCTCTCATAACTATCAATTATTTATGAGATTTAAAAACAGCATTCGGAAACTTGATAAATCATTAGGACCCTTTTCCAATTGCACAATTTAATCAAATGACTAACTGTTCAACGATTACTGGATTTCGTCAATATCTGTGCAATACATGAATTTAGAAAAAAACCAGTAAGTTTGAAGTTCTGAAAGTTGTTAACAGAATGTGTCGTTTTCTTGTCCAACAATCGCGAGGTTGTTAAACAGCATAGATTTACTTCCATAGAGAAACACAATACAATACAACACTAGTTGACGTTTCGGCAGTATCGCCTTCTTCAGAGCGTGGAAGGGTATACTGATATACAATCTACTAGGCCAAACGCTTCAATGACACTTACAAACGTCAGCTAGCGCTGTATTGTATTGTGTTTTTTTTATGGAAGTAAATGTATGCTGTTTAAAAACCTCGCGATTGCTGAACAAGAAAACGACAC